TAGAATTTTCTCCAGACTCTCAACTAGAACATTCGTGTATACCCATGGCTTAAGGAAAAAATATTTTGGTTTAAAAATAAATCTAAGATATTTTATGCCTTTTTTTATTTCTCAAGTTTATTTTTACACTGAAATAAGTTAACCAGCCTTTTGTGTTTCTTCACCTGACAACTGAAAATCATTTTGAAAACTAGCAAAGTAAGGGTTAAAGTCCTGCATGCATTTTTTGTTTTGTTGCTTTGGGTTCCTTTCTTTTTTTTTTTTCATTTTTTCAATTTTTGAATGGCCTTTCATACATCTGTGTTCTGGGAAGCTTTACTGGATAAAATCACAGAATTATTTAGCAGAGCTTAGTGATGTTTTAATTAGGAAAATTTTCCGATATTACCTGTTATTGAAAGTGTGCCCTTTCTTTTTATTTTATATCATGGTTAGATTTTGATGGAGATTTAAGGAACAACCCAGGCATCTTCACATGATTAAAGGAATTAGAGCGATTCATCTATTCTGTCTTGTGATCTCAATTTAGGGAAATCTATTTGTCCTCCTGCTGAAATGGCCGTTGATTAAGAGGGGTTATTCCTAAGTGTATGACTGCAGACATTACTATATGGACATTACTTCACTTGGGTAGGTGAGATATTATCCCTGCGTCTGTAGAGAAGGACATTGGACCTCAAAAATTTGCTTGCATACCTAATAACAACGACAAGACTAGGGTAGTCTCAAATCTAAACTGTGTCTTTATCTGCTGTCATTTGTGCTACTTAAAATATAAAGCTGCAGCATTAAGAGTTAAGGAGCAAAAGACCATCTTGAGTGCCCTCTGAGGAGTTTAAATCGAATGAAAAACAATAGGTAGCATTGTGCCAGGTTTGCCCAGGTTTAAAAAATGTATATATTTAAATTGTAAGTGTGACAAAAGATAAACCACATGAGTTTTGCCTTAAGGTTTGGGACTAAAATCTGTAAGGACACTGCCATTGTCTAATTTGTTAAGGTAGGAGCTTGACCTCTGATCTTTATTGTCACATGGTCCTTAAAATAGTTCATGAGCTCAAGTCACAGAACTGCTTTTGAGAAAAATGATGTAATTAGGATACTTAAAATTGATATGTACTAAAATATTATAAAATATGTGATAGTGTGTTATATATCATTCACATAATTTAATGTTTGTTTTAGACTCAGATGGAAGAATCCTAAACATACAGATCATATAATTATGACCTAATTAAGTAAGAAATACGCTCATAATTGATATAAAGGAGAGTTATCTTTATTTGATATTTGTTCCCTTTTTCATTTGTAGGTTCCCTCATTCAACAAATATTTATCGTTATCCCTAAATTGGCTAAGTTCCTCTGGTTTGTATTGTGAAATAAAGATGGGACTGGCACTATATTAACAAGTCCTTTCTCTCCTGGTACAAATATAAATTGTTATAGTCTATTTAATAAATGTTTTGCTGGTATATTTTGAGAGCCTGGGAAAATTTTATTACTTTGATCAGTAATTTAACTTATCTAACTGTATTTAGAGAAAATAATTAAAGGTGCAGTCTAGAACATTGAAGCACACTGGTGTTGGATGAAGGTGCCTGGTTGAGGGGTGAGTGGTGGTGGAAATCTCCTGGGCTTGAATGCCCAGGCCCTGCCTCCTGATGGGTCTATATTCACCCTGAGAGTACAGCTGTTCTAGCTGTATGAGTCATCAATCCAAGCTAGCAGAGGCCCTGGTGTATACGCAATTTATATAGAAGGATGTATAAATGTTGTCTGTAATAGTAAAGAATCATAAATTGTTAGATTAAAAATTAGGGAGTAATAATACTGTATCCCTACAGTAGAGTAGTGTAGATTTTGTATTAAGAGTAAATGAGTTGAATGTCATGTGAAAATGCTCATGGTATACTGAATTGTGAGCTAAAATATAAAACTAGAATGTAAGTTTGAAACCAGGTTTTTAAACATTTTTATTGAAATATATTGCATTATAACATGTACGTTTCAGATGTGCATCATAAATCAACATCTTTATAAACTGCATTAAGTTCAACAGTAAAGGTCCAAGTCTGTCCTTCACCATAACAGTTGATCCCTTTTAACTGATTTACACACGGCATCCTACCTTCCCTTCTGGGAATCTTTAATTAGTTTTGTCACCTGAAAGGAGTTTTGAAGGACCCAGTACATTCTGCTGAGAGTTGGAACTGGTTGCTATATATATATATTTTGAAGACTAGAAAGGTCAAGAGGTGTTTGATGAGAACACAATGTTTTAGATGACTTTAATTTTTTTTTTATTTTTTACCTCACTGTTCATTTTTAAACATTTGCTCTCCCCGCCCCCCCCCAGGTGTAGTCCCCATAGAGTTTCCTTCCCCAATGCACCTGTGCACCATCACCATAGTCCCCTGTGCTCCTCCCTCCCTCCCTCTGATCCCTCTCCCTCCTCCTCCCCTGCAGGATGTCTCTGGTTTATAATTGTCTGTTTTTGTTTTTTGTGTTTTGTACTGTTACTATTTTTTTTTACACTGATGTCTTATTTGATTTCCCTATATTCCTGCTATAAGTGAATCCATCTGATATTTTTCTTTTTCCTTCTGACTTATTTCACTTGTGGGATATCATATTATAGTATTATAATTTAAAAAAGAATTATATTCTGATTTCAAGAGAATATTTCAGTTTACCACTATACTGTTAAAATGTTGCATTTATATTGTTTTTTAATTCGCATTTGTGGTAATACTAAACGCTTTAATGTACATAGGAGATGTGCTTTGAGGCATACGATTATGTATGTATATATATGTATGTATCAATCATCTATCTAAGAGAGGTAAAAGGGAGAGAGAGGTTGAAATGCAGTACCAGAATAAAATTAAAGTCAAAGGTCAGTTCCTCTTGTAGGCCAAGCCTGTGGAATATGTGAATTCTGCTACATGTTCTTTGAAGGCCTTGGCATGAGTTCATTCTTTTCTGTTCAAGTGTATGGAGACACATGCAAAGCAAATCTGGCCCAGTGCTGTGTTGTGTAGACGTTGGCACAGAATGGGGGCTGCTAACCAGCTCCAAGGCGTGTCCCCTCTTGAGCATGATTCCAAACCCTAAAAAGTAAACTGTGCCTAATAAGTTGACTTAACTGAATGCCAAAGAAAACTTGCCTCATGAAATGGAAATTCTGAAGCAAGTTACATAATTCTGAGCGAGAATGAACAGGAAGGCTTTCAAGATATATCCAAATGGGGTGAATGGTCTGTTTTAATCAGAATCTCCAGTTGAGCAATATTTAGTTTTATTGGTGAGATTCAAATAAATGGTCCAAGACACTTGGGAATGCTTAGAAACTATGTCAACTTTTAATTTAATTTTTAATAAATGGCATATATAATCATAATTTTTTAATGAATTTGAGTGTTTTTATTTATTTTTTAAAGATTTGTTTGTTTGTTTATTTGTTTATACAAGCACAAGAGTGAGAGAATTCACCAGAGCCAGAGTGGGAACAGAACAGGCAGATTGATGAAATACACTGCTGAGGGGAGCAGCGGGCAGCAGGAGAGGTCTGTGCACCATGTGGGACCCTCGCCGGCCAGCCTGGGATCGTACCGGCGCTGCAGAGGCTGCAGGCAGCTTTGCAGCCCAGTGCTCAACGGCTGCGCCACCAAGGGAGGCCCCATAATTTATTTTTAATTGAGCTAACATTGGTTTACAACACTGTATGTGAGTCAGGGTATGGATTCACACCTCTTTAGATGTGTGTGCCATGCACCAGAGTCCTCCACCATAGTCCACTGGTGGTATGTCTGCCCTTTGCACCAACCCCCAATAGACAACCTCTAAACATGCATATTTAAAAGTTACTTTTAATTGCCCAACATGGAACCATCAAGAAGTACTCATATCAATTATCCTATGCATTTGAATAAGTTATTTACAGAAAAAGTTTTCTTCTCTCCCGGAGAATAATTTACTTTAAAAATCTCTTACTTGGGGCCTCCCCTGGTGGCGCAGGCAGATGAGTGCAGTGCTGTGAAGCTGTCCGCAGCCTCTGCAGCTCCAGTTCTATTCCTAGCCAGCCCGGGAGATACCCACATGGCATGGCAGACCTCTCCTGCCTCTCCTGGTGCTCACCTCAGCAGTGTATTTCGTCAGTCTGTCTGTTCTGTTATCCACTCTGTCTCTGGTGAATCCTCTCACCCTCCCGCTCATCTGGCCTGTACACCAGTTTTTGTATGCATGAATAAATAAATCTCTAGGAAAAAAAATCTCTTAACTTGGTAAAAATAATAAAGCACTTCAGGTGGAGTATTTATGGCTTTTCTTTCATATATTAAATTTACTTTTATTTATTCCCCCCCAGTTTGAAATCTTTGATGAAATTTATTTAATATAATTTTTGTTACGGTACCATTGGTTTATAACACTGTATATTATTCAGAAATATAGACCACCATCTCATCAGATGTGTATTACCACATCACACCTGCTACTGAGGCACCCAAAATTCCATCATTGTCCATTAGCCCCCTCTTCACTTTTTTCACTACCCTCCTCCTCCTGCCCTGCAGCCTCAGTTTTGCAGTCAGATTTCTAAGATTTGTTTTTGGTTTGGTGTATTAAGTTTGCATTTCAATCCATTTCTGCCATTTTCACCCCAAGCTTTTCATTCTTTTGAATCTCTCATACCTTCCTTTCCTCCCTATCTTTGTTCATATCTTCATCATCTTGTGTCCATTATCTGTCCTAGTGGCATTTATTATTAAACAGTGTCCTGTTTCTGCATTTATCCACTTTGCTATTTACATGACTGCTAAAAAGCAAGCAATAAACAAGCAATTAAGGAAAAAACAGCCAGTTGCAATTTTTTCATGTCACACCACTGATCAATATCTCCAAGAATTGCAGAATTAAAATTGTTTTCCCCAATAAAAGTGTGTTATCAACATGTAGAACTTTTTCTCATTATTGGTTTTTATTGTGCTTTTCTTGCAGGATCAATGTGACTCTAGAAACAAATGGATGAATGAATATCCATATGAAGAGGAAAACAATAGAGGTTGGTTAGTCAATGCATATAATTGTGTTGAGAATATTACTATTTTGAACATTATTTGGGGAAGCTGTTTCATTTGAGTACTTCCTTGAGTGAAGAAGAGAGAAGATGAGACAGAGGTCAATTCTTAGACACCCACATCTCTCTGTAAAGCATAGCTTTTATTGTTAATCCAAATATGAAGACATTTATGGGAAGGGAGGCAATGTGTTGTTTTTTTTTTTAAATAGGTTTAGCTGTCATTAATTTCTAGAATCTAAGTTGCTGTTTTAAGATTCTGTTAATGCATGTTAAAAATGAAATAACCACTTGGTACAACTGGTTCCTGGGACACAGAGGGGAAAAGAAGCCAGATTCTGTTCAATATTTATCAATTCCTCAAATTACAGTCCTAGGTTCAGCACTGTGTATTGTGTGATTGCTGTGAGAGGCTGGCCTCTTTGCACTCACAATCTGAATTTCCTCCGAAGAGTAGGAGTGTTATGAACCATTTTTAACTTGGTTGTCTTTTCAGGCAATTAAAAAAAAATCCAGTATGGATTAGAGGGAAAAACAATTCTGTGAATTTTAGCAGTTATCAAATACTGGATATCACTTTATGTATGGTAGTTTTTTTGAACATCTTTTGTGCTACATCCTGGTTAGAATATAAAAATCAGAGATAATACTAAGAAAATTAGAATATGCTAAATCTCCATTTCATAAGGTTTTTACACTGAGTAGACCAAGCACACAGATGTATGCCTCTTAACTCTTTCTGTAGCTGTACAGCAATACAATTTCTTAATTTCCTCCCCCCATTAACCAGCTACTTTCAAATAAATATACCCAATGTTGTGTCTTCTTTTACCACCTCACTTTCACAGTTATTTACAATTAATTTCTCAGGTTATATCTTTCATTTAAATTTGTCTAAATCCATCCTTATTGCTAAATTTGTTCCTTTCTAGTATTTTTATCTGGGAAGATTTCATACCTTTAGAGAGAATTTTGAATCAGAAATAATCCCAAGGAGACTTCTGGGTATATCATTGTTTTCTTATGACTTTGACTGTATTAATATGAGTTGCATTTACTTTGTGAGAATTAATGTACTGTGTGTTTTTTTCTATGTGGATCAGTGGTGTGCTGGTAAACTGGGCTGGTGGGTTGGGTAGAAAGGCCTGATCTGTAATATTTGTCAACATCTATGGTATAAATACTCCCACCACGGCTGGTTTCAGTGGTTAACTTGAAAGAAACATGTCAGTTGCAGAGTTTAGTATGATCATGCTAAGTTTATTCTGACACAGAATACAAATATTATTTTTTTTAAAGTTTTTCTTTAATAGCTGCAGTATGAGTTATAATAGCAAATATAAAACTAAGCCAAGTTTAAGATAGGTCTCCACAATGCAAACTACAAATTTTAACATTTCTCTGACTTTAAATATTTTTGTTGCTATCTGTAGAGGTTATAAATCCTCTCCCTGAACATCATTGTAGAGTCTGTATTTCAAGCACATTCACATTTTCTAGTTGTCAAAAGGTATGAATTATATGATTGGATGGTAATTTCTCAGGAATCAATGCCTTCCATGTTCTCCACAGAGATACAAGCCTACTAAATAAGATGGGAAAGACCAGTAGAATTTAATGGCTATCAAAAAAATAAAATAGTGTTTCTGTTGAATAGATGGAAGAATTATGTTGTAGTAAGAGAATTTATACCCTCTGATAAATGAAAAAAGCCCTTATAGGCTATAGTATGTAGTTGTAAATAGTTTTGTGAATAGAAAATAAAACCATCATATTTAAAATTGTTACTGTAACTTTAAAATCACTAATGTTGAACAGATTCTCAGGATTTTATGAGTTTTTTTTCTCTACACTGTTGTGTGGTTTCAATACTCTGAACAAAATCAAACTCCTAAAAATAAGTTCACTTGCAGAATTCCTTAAAATTTCACAACTGATGCTAATGAGCTGGAGATGAGCTAGTTCTGATAATTTCATTTATAAAGTAATCATTTTACATACTGAAGACTACTCAGACAAAGCAGTAAATGTAAATTTTCTTGGTTTATCTATATATAAAAATGGAAATGCTCTTCACTCATCATGTAAAATGTGTTTATCCTTTTTCTTATGTTAAATGTTGGTATAGTACTTATGTTTTCCTTCAGTTGTTATTGAACTCTTATGTTTGAATGGATCATTGTTAGGTTTGTAAGTTTATACATTTTGACAAAGTCTTTGTTCTATAACTCATTTCATGACAACTGTAGAGAATTATTGTTTATTACATACCCTCAGGATAAACTCAGAAAATATTATCATGATTGACTATGTCTGATTCACTCTAAATGTTTGTTCCTCATAGCTTATGATTCATGAGTTCAAAAGTCTTTATAGAGGAAGAAATGATGTGTATTTCACTTTGTGTTTTTGTCACAGAGATTTTTTAACTGCTCTTTTTTGTATTTTTGGTCCATATTTTCATTTGTGGAGGACAGGGCAGAGAATCCATGGACATTTGTTTTTAAGTCTTTTTGATCAGGTGCTGTTAGTTTCAGCACAAGCAGATTCAGGGAGAAAATTGCAAAATTTGAAAATTTATCTTTTCTGTATTTCAAATACATTGACAAGGTCACTATTAAGATGAAGTTTTAAAAATATCAACATTGAAAATAACATCACTACTCTCTGTGTAATTGAAAAGGGCTCTTCAAACTATTTTATGGCTCTTCAAACTATTTTGTATATTTCTAAATTGCCAGAAGAGATAAAATCTTGCCAAGAGTCAAAAATTATCATGTTGTGCCTTTCCGCCTAGGTTATAATTTTTAAAAGCCTAAATAGCATTGGTGAAATTTTTGTTGTGTCTATGCAACAGTCTTAATTCGAGGACATTTGTCATCTGTCCTTTCCTTAAAAAATAAATTATTTGCATTAAGTTCTTTCTGCTCCATTGCACTCTGAATTTGCCCCTTTACTGTCTGCAATTAGAAAATACCAAATTCTCAAAGATCCCTGTCATCTATTATTTCATGCTTACAACTATTGGCATAAAATGTGGTCTACATACTCTTTAATGTATTCCAGCAGTTGCTGTCATTGCAAAGACAGTGGCTTGTTTATGGATCTGGCTCCACAAATCTGGCTTTGTTCCATTTGTTTTCCAGGCATTTCAGTATGTTTACCAAGTGCTTCTCAGCAGCTGGTTTAGAGCAGGTGTCCAAAACATATGCATACATATACACTGTCCAGCTTATCAGAGCTCACATTTAAACTTGTGCTATGTGACTACCTCCTATGAACAGCTGCTTAAACCATCTAGCATTAATAGCAGTGGGTGGAGTTAACTTCTTGCATTTGGAAACCAAGAAGACAGTGGTAGCCATCCTGAGAAAGCTTTAATTTCCTACAAAAAGAATCTGTTTCATAATGATGGACAAATACATGCATATATGGGTGTGTATATCTCTAGAGAGAGATAAAGATATTGCTGTAGATACATTGTGAGTACTTTAAATTTCCTTTCCACAAAGTTCCAATACTGGCTCTTCGCTCAGGATAGTAAAATATAATAGCAGCAATTTAACCTTTTTTTCATTTTGAACCAAGCAGGTAAGGTTGCTTAGGAAACTGCAGTTGATGTAAATGAAGCATATTGTCAGTGCTTCATATAGTTTATGTAGAGTAACTGCCCAGACAGTAAAGCATGGAATCCAAGAAAGAAAAGTCTTGGCTCCACAATTTATATGTCTGTATGCTCTCAGACCTATGTCTATATGCTCTTAGACCTTTTTGCATCTAAATTTTCTCAACTGCAGAGTGAAACTAATAACACCTACCTATTTTCAGGATTTGCTAGGGGGTGTTGGGGGTGGTGAAAGAAAATATGACATATTTGTGAAAACAATTTAAAACTGTAGCATTCTAAAGGTGCGGGTGGCAGTGATACTATTATTTTTATAACATAAGACAGAGGTTTGTGACTTTATTGTATAACTTCATATCACAGAGTCAGAGATTTTCAGAGTTGGAAGCATTCGCAAAAGCCTGTGCCTCTCTAACATGTGCTTGGTGAGGGGCTACTTTCTGTTAAGACTTGATTGGTTACTTTAGCATTATGTTGAATATCCCTTGGAATTTTCTATTGCATGTGGTGATTTATCTTTTTCCCAGGCATCTAATATTTATATTAAAAGTTCTTTTATTGAGCCAAATCAATAGATTTTATAATGATATGAGCTAATAGTTATTTATATGTTTATTAATCACTTCACCTTCAGTTGTCTAATTTTGCTTTTTTGGAAAATAAGAACAAAATGATGGGAAATGATAGACAGGAATTATGTAGTTATTAAAGTACAGTAATGGTTTTATTATTTGAAAAGATGATGCAGTGCTCATTTTAAGAACTTTAAAGCATGCAAAGCCACATCACCTCCTTGCTTCATACCTGTTAATATTTGGTAATTATTCATACCTGTTAATATTTGGTAATTATTCTTTCTGTCCACATATATGAGTACAGACAGTTTTACAAAAATAGGATCATATTTGTTTGTAATGAAGAGTTATATTTTCAATTTGCTTCCATTATAATGCAAGAAACAAAAACTGATTTGAACTGAAGGAATTTTTCATTTCAAGTTAATGTCTTTTCACCAGCATGGCTCTATTACTTAAGCATTATGGAAAAAGAAACAACTGAATTCTGATCATTGTGTTTTTCTCCGTGACTAAATTTAACGTTAAGCAGCATCTCTCATCTCTTGACGCTTTGCTATCAAAGATGAGAAAATTAATGACATTTCTTTCTAATTCCCCTTTCCTCCTCATTTTACTGCCCTTTAAAAAGTAAGGTTAACTAGAATTAACAAAGTTCCTTAGTCTTTGTTATTTTTTTCAGAAATATGGCAATATGCTTTGCTCTTTTCTGGCATGTGCTGTCACTGTGAAGACTGAAGCAAACTGATCTTTCCACTTGTTCTTATTTTGCTTCTTGTTCAGAT